TGCTAGGTTGGCGAGGAGCTGCGACAAAGCAACAGGAGCTCACTCTGTCGCATGGATTCGATCTTACGACTGCTGGTCTTCTGACCCTGCAGCACAGGCTTCGGTGGTTTAGCCTGCAGCGCCACCACATCCCTTAAAATAACTTTGGCGAGCCAGGCAGGAGTCGAACTTACAATCTTCTGATCCGTAGTCAGACGCGTTATCCATTGCGCCACTTACTGAACAATATTTTGCCTATGTGACCAGCAGGAAAAAAGATGCCAAGTTTTGCATAGAAAAAGATCACCTGAATGTTGACAACCCCAGCAACAGCAGTCAGAATGGTCTACTGGTCTACAGAAAAAGATCACCTGAATGTTGACAACCCTAGCAACAGCAGTCAGAATGGTCTACTGGATACCTTCTTGTGTGCACTACCATTCCCCCTTGTTGAAAAACAGCTGTGACAATTGCTTTGTGTTTGGGTGAGAAGTAGCTAACTGATGAAGAAAGGAATCAGCTTCTGAGATTTTTCTTTGCTTGGTGTCACTATGTGAATGGTGCAAATGCTGTTTAAGTATATATACACTACACACAGATGCCTACAGGAACTTCCCACGTATAGAATTACCTAGTGCTAGAGGATCCCAAAAGATGAGCACATGATCTTTATTTGGGAGGACAGAGGCAAGAACTGTTGGGATATGGCTGTAGTCCTTCTCTGCCAAAATATTTTCAAGGACTGTTCATAGATACCAATGAACCATGAATCATCACGGCCATTGTGTTTGTGCTCATCTCTAATCAGGAACATCAAGATATGATAATGTCTCTCCTGTCCCAGCTCATTTGCATTTCCTACCAGTTTGCTTCTGGGTCAAATTCGAAGTGTTAATGTCAACATACAAAGTCCTGAAGGGTCTGGGACCTTGATACCTGACAGAGTGCCTCTTCCTCAGATCTACCACCCACCCCACCAAGTTTGCTTGCTTATAGAATAGCATGCGGAACTTGTCAAAGGCTTTGCTAAAGTCAAGTTATATTGTATCTACAACATTCCCACTGTCTACTAGAGAGATTACCTGATCAAAAAAAATGAGATAATATTGGTCTGACAAGATTTGTTCTTGACAAATCCATGTTGGCTTCCAGATCTTACTGCATTGTTTTCGAGGTCCTTGCAGAGTGACTGCTTTATAATCTGCTCCAGAATTTTCAATGGGATTGACATCAGGCTGACTGGTCTGTAGTTCCCTGGTTACTTCTTTTTGCCTTTTTTAAAAGATAGAGATATTAGCCTTCCTCCAAAATAATAAGTGTTCTGTGAGCGCTTCAGTCATTTCTTTCAGTGTCCTGGGTTGCGGTTCATTTGGCCCCAGGGATTTAAACTCATTGTTTATCAATCCCAAAATGCAATCCTATTCTCTCATTTTGTACTTCGCATTTGTCTGGAGCAGCATAGACTGACTGTGTTTTGGGAGAAGACTGACCTGAAGTAGGAATTGAGCACTTCTGCCTTTTCTTTGTTATCTGTTTTTGTTTTCCCATCTCCACTGAGTAGATGAGTCACTTTGTTTTCTCTGTATTTTGCTGCAAACATCACTGAAGAAGGTTTTTGGTTGTTGTTGTGTTTTTTTTTTACCATCTCTTGCTAACCTCGGTTCATATTCAGCTTCTGCCTTCCTAACACCATCCTTGCAATTCTTTGCTACTTGTCTGTATTCTTCCTTTGTAGCCTGGCCTTCCTTCCATTTCCTATATGTGTCCTTTTTGTTTTTACTTCTTCTCTGAGTGTTTTGTGAAGCCACATTGGATTTGTTCTCTCCATTGTAGCCTGGCCTTCCTTCCATTTCCTATATGTGTCCTTTTTGTTTTTACTTCTTCTCTGAGTGTTTTGTGAAGCCACATTGGATTTGTTTGCTTCTCTCCATATTTTTTTTTTCTTGTTGGAATTGTTTGTAGTCATGCCTTTAGAAATTTCCTTTTTGAGAAACCCCTCATCTATCCTGGATTCCTTTTCCAGTTAGGATTTTCTGCTATAGGACCTTACTTATCATTGTTCTGTTAAAATTAGCTTTCTTAAAATCCAGTGTATACAAGCAGCCACACTCTGCTCTCATTTCTTTTGAAATCAAGAACTCAAATAGTACATGGTCACTTTCCCCCAGAGTTCCTCTTGCCTCCACTTCTTCCACTTCTTCACTGCTGTTCTATCAGGCTTTTGAGACTCTTCTACTGATTATTTGATTGTTTGTTCCTTAATTGTTTGATCTATATTACTGTTGTTCCCATCTTGGAGTCTGCTTATGTTTGTTTGTTTATATGGGTGGATTTTAGAGGTCCTCACCCTTTTTATGTTTCAATGAATGTAAGCTCTTCAGAGTAGTGGCTTGCCACTAGATTGGCAGGTTAGAAATGTAAGAAATAAACAAACAAACAAACAAACAAACAAACAAACAAACAAACAAACAAATAAATAAATAAATAAATAAATAAATAAATAAATAAATAAATAAATATTAGTTTCAGAGCTTAAACATGTGAACCTCTGACAATTTGTTCTCTATTGTTTTTAAAATATATTTTAAAATATATTTACAACCAGGCACAGAATCCTTTTAAATCCAAAGTACCAAAACAATCACCAACACTTTGGAGAGCCTCAATTCAATTTGAGTGCTACTTCAGCCTTCCTCACTTCACTTTAGATTAGCTCAGAAACTGACAAACAGCCCCTGCTTTACTTCAGATTCCAAATAATTCATGAACTGGAAACGGATCAGTAATTTGTATTATTAGTAGAAAAGGACTGGTACTCACAATTGCCTAATTATTTTTGCTAAAGAGCAGTTACAGGTTTTGCTTGCAGCGTAACTGTTCATTAGCATTCCCATTTCCTATCATTCTACCCTTTTCCAAGATTGTGAAAGAATGATGTACAGCTTGATATTATTTCAGTGTAAGTATATATGCAATTGACACACATTGAAACTCCTGTGTGTACTCATCTGGATATGCTGGTCCTGTCAGAGTTTCTGCACTGCACACAGAGATGTTTAAAGAAGCTTACTTATCCATCAGTATTATGGCAGGGCACAATTAACTGTTTTTGACTGCGGTACCCAGAACCTCCTAGTGTGGCCAGTTAGGATTTTTTCCCCTCCAAAATGTCACTTTTCCGAGCTCCGATCACCATAATGTGAAGGTTTTCTGCAGAAGTTACAGAGTACGCTGCCTTTCCACTCTCATTGAGAAAGTATAGAGGAATGTTTGTGGGAAAATGTTTAGAAAAATCTGAGTGTAAATATGAAAACCTGTGAAAATGATAAAACCCTTTTGAGGAACCATGTTTACTTCACATATTACTATATTTTCTGTTTTATGGTTATATTCCATTTTATTTGCCTCCTTATTAAACATCGTAGGACCTTCTTGATCATAAGAGGAATCCAGTCTTGACTTCTTTGTTTTTTGAAAAGTATCCATTTGTTTGAGAACATTTTTTAGGGTGGGAAACATCATGGAATTATCAGGCGGGAATATATTTGGCACGATTTAGAAAGCAGTATATATTATGAAAGCAATGAGTACAATGGATAGGGTGGGAAACATCATGGAATTATCAGGAGGGAATATATTGGGCATTCAGTGCCTAACACAATTTAGAAAGCAGTATATACTGTATTATGAAAGCAATGAGTACAATGGTAAGGACTTGGCAAAAATAACAAGTATGTTTAATTGTGTAGGATGCTATCAAACATATCATCCTTGGTCTTGTGTTCCATTAAATATGTATAACATAAGATCAATGTTCACTAAAATGCCCACTAACCTGGAAACAGACTAGCTGCAAAGCAATTGGTTATTTGATGTAACATTGATAAACACTCGTGCAGCAATCAATAGAAATGTCTAATGGCCTGTTCCTAGCACTTGGAATGAAGGGAGTCCGGGAGTATAATACCATGCTGTAGTCACATTAATATTATGGCATAAACTATGGGATATGTTTTGTTATCAGTATAATGGTACAAAGCATTGCAGGGTTGTTCATACAAAGCTGTTTGTCAATTCAGTTTGTCTAGATAATCTGAGTGCATAGAGACACATGTTACCTTTTACCTATTAATTTCTTTTCCAAAATATTTGTAACCTGCTTTCCGGTCCTGATTAATTAACGGTCACACTAGAACAATAAAAGTTGATGAATAAATGAAAGCAATTAACCAGTTAACAAGGCAGCAGAAATAGTACCAAAAATGGTGCAAGTCCTTTAAGACCTGAATCATAGTGAAATAAAATGTTGTTGTGGTTTGGCACATGACCATCAAAAAGCCAGCATGGTGAGCTTTTCATGGGAGTTCCATAAGATTGATAAGACAACCAAGAAGGTTTTGTCTTTTGTACCCTTCAATCTTGTTTCCCATTTGTCTGATTTAAGAGCAGGGTGTTCCTAGATGGTCTATGCTGGGAAGGTGGATTATGTTTGGTGAGGTTGCAAGACAGGGCCTTCTTGATGGCTACACTAAAACTATGAAAGGAGGCTGTTGTTCACTTCTAGTACCCATCCAGCTGTTAAGGACTGTGCTTTTTAACTGTTGATTGTAACTATTGTTATTTTAATGGGGACATTTTAATTTGTTTTAAACTCATTTGCTTAATTATATTTTAATATAACTGGTTAAATTATGACCTAATATTTAAAATGTGTTGTGCTTTTAGTTGAACTTGTGTTTTCCATTATATTTTAAGCTGGATTCCAGTGAGAAAAAAATAGGTGAAATTCAAATCAATTCAAATAAAATAAAATCATCACATAAAATGTAGTATTGTTTCAAGTGTCTTGGCCAACAGCTGTAATCTCTGCATATGAAATACAGTACTCATGTGGTTCCTGTATATTTGCTAGTGAAGAAAAGCAAGGAATGTATAATATTAAAGTATTAATTTTCTCATTTGAAGTACGAAAGATTCATAATCATATTTCATACCTTTTTTCCCCTCCTCTCTACAATTAGGAGAATTTTGGAATGCAGCCTCTTTTAACACTGAGGCCTCGTATCTTCATTTCCCCACTTTTCATGGAGAACTTAGTGCAGATGTGTCATTTTTCTTTAAGACTACAGCTTCCTCTGGAGTGTTTTTGGAGAATCTGGGAATTAAAGACTTCATAAGGATAGAACTGCATTGTAAGTCCAACTAAAGTTATTTCAGTTTTTGTTTCATTTAAAGCTTTAAATGTTCTGTTCCATCTATGTTTACACTGACAATTTTACATTGACTTGATTTCTACAAAATTCTATCGAAATGTGTAAACTAACTTGAAAAGCCTCTGAGATTCAGGTAGTACAACAGAGTTCAGCTGTCACAGACTAGCTTGTGAATTTGAGTGTTGGGCTGCCCCACAATTTATTCCTCTGCATTGTTTGGGTGGTCTATGGCTTCTACAGGTAGCTCCGTTCTGGATGAAATGGAGTTTGAGTGCAGTTTTAATAATTATTCTTTGAGTAATCCGTGTAATTTAGGATCATTGGATGATCATATTTGTATGACTAATGTCATGGTGATTACTGTGGATGAGATTTTCAGATTTTGTGGTTAAAAAAAAACCCCCACAATTCTCCAGTCTTTAAGTTCTTCCTAATAGACAGGCATCTTAGTGTGGCTCACCTGGGAGAAAGGCCTAAACTGGAAGGCTTTGAGGCTTAGCTAGGCCTAGCTGCAGCTAGCTTCCTGTTCAGAAAACAAACTTCCATTTAGTTCTGGGGCAAGAACAGTGAGCTTGGGCATTGTTTGGCCTAGCTAAGCTTCAGATCCTTCTAGCTAAGACCTTTCTATCAAGTGAGCCACACTGAGGTTTCTATCTGTCAGACAGAATTCTGGGAATGGAGAATTGTGGGGATTTGTAGTCCAGGAAATTCAAGAATCCCACCACTAACAGTTATTGTAGAACTATCCCAAGAAAACAAACAATGCATTGCAGGAGTGGGCAACACGTAACCCCTTAGGAGCCTAAAGGCACCCAAGGCATGCCCATGGAAACTCATTAAGAGGGCCTGACAATGGTAAAACCATTTCTTAAATATCTCGCATATCTTGAAAACCATATTGGAGAAGATATAAATCAAATAATTACTGCTGGAACAGGAGGATATGCTTCTATAAAACTATCTTTCCTGAGACCCACTCCAGCTGATCTTCATATTCTTAACCATTTGACTCACTTTTGTGCTGTGAATATGGTGTTGAAACCAGAGAATGTGCCTGTAAAGGAACATTTTGTGTATTGTGTGTTGCTGTTGGCCTCTGGTCCAGATAGAAGGAACACCTCATCCTAGGTGTTGTGGAATGAGCCCCTCCACTTTCACAGCAGGTCATTATCATCATTATCCACTTTGTTTTGGTTGCAAAAGGCCTGGATGCTCTCAGAATTTTTGCTCATTCTCAGACCATGGATGAATTACTTTTCTGGACTAAAACTCTTGAGATTCCCCCATCTGAATTGGGAATCTATTCATACGTTTGAGTGCTTGCTCAGAATTCAAGAGGCAGCAAGATCAATGACTGCATGTTCCACCTTTCCTTCTCACCATCTTTATAAATCAGCAGTAAAATGATGCTTTCCACTGGATCTCTTGGTGAAATCCTGGTAACTGTAATTAAAAGGCTCAGGTAGTAGGGGGCAAGAAAAGCCATTCTGCAAGACTCTAGAGAGCTGTGCCAGTCACAGAAAACAATGCTGGAGTCGACGGACACACAGATTTGGTGCAGTGCAGTTTTCTATGTTCCTATCCTGTCCAACATGAAAACTAAGCATAAAGCCAAGTTTCACTCCATTTGATTCAGGTTTACTTTACAATATTTTGAATCATAGTACAAATGGATGGTTAAATGATGTATCTGTAAGAGCAGATTCAGTCAATGGGGAATCACAGTTTGTCAAGGTGCAGTGAGTTTTTTACTCCTCCACCAGAGGTCCATTTGTTTTAACATTGATTCATTTAAATTGATCCTCCCTATGTGAATGCCTCTTTCTGCATTAATGTTTAATTAGCCCTCCCACTACAGCCACTTTCCCCAGCTGTTGTTGTGTTAAGAGCTGGAGGTGGGGAAGAAGCCAGGCTGCAAAGGAGCTTGCAGGAGCCCCCTGCAGCTCACTCGCCCAAATCTTCTTCCAGTCCTGGAGTGGGAGGTTGGGGGACAGGTTAGGCAAGAAGGCATCTCTTTTACCAAGCTGACACGCAAACCTCAGACCCAGTGGCTGAAAGGCAGGCAGGCAGCCCATGTCTCTTCCTTTGTCCACTAATATAATTGTTTCACCATTGACCACTCAAAACCTGTTGCTCCTGAAACTGCAAGAGGGTTAACGATCCAAAGAATCTCATGAAAGATGGAGAATATATTTCATTTTGCAACAATTCATTGGATTTGGATTCTATTAAAGTGAACAACCCCCCCCCCCAAAAAAACACCAGTTCATCCCTATTACACCATTGTGCTTGAAGCAAAGTAGTATCGTTTATTTAAATTGCAATGCAGAAGACTAGGTCCTCATTTCAATCAATCTTAGCCAAGGTTAATGAGAGAAAAAACACATAAAATGTATGAGATTATTCTTATGCTTACATTTTTTTTTTATTGGAATAAATTGTATCCTGCCTTTCCACAGAAATATTAACAAGTACTGGTAAAGACAGTTAACAGTATTCATACATACATAGAGAGAAATATAAAAATAGCCAACAATTCCAAGCAAAAACAGTATGTCTGATCAGATCATTAGAACACCAGAATTGACTAAATCTATGAAGGGTAACAGAAAGCCTAACCAAAAACTATTGACTTCACCTGGCTCCAGAAGGCAAGTAAACAGAACCTCCAGTAGGAGATAACACTCCAGCTGGGCTTTACAATGAAAAGGCCCTGACTTACATACTTATGTCATGACAGCCTACTATCCATTCATTCAAATGCACAAAATGGCTTCATAGGATGAAGATGGGCTGATGTGGGACCAAGTAGTTCCATAATTGTTGTTTGTTGTAAGCAATCCTAGAAAGTTCTGAACACACAGTATACACTAACATTGCTTACTTGGCAAATACAGTCAATACTGGACACTTCCATTGGACCAATATTGGCGTATGCTTGTCATTTGTTCGCAAGGAGGAGTCTTCCAAAATGAAAGAAGGCACAGTGTTCATAAGGTTGTAAAGAAAAATGAAATACGTATCAAAGTTAGACTGCTGAGGAGAGCTAACTTTTCGGCTGATAAAAAGCATAATTTATATAATCCCTTATCTTCAAACCAGAAAGATACATCAAAGGAGAGTCTGAAAGGACCAACACTTGAAAGGGAAAATTTGTACATTTATTTTTCAAATCCAAATAAAACCACTGCTGCTAGCTCAAGTTGAGATTTTCCTACATTAAAAGACAGATTGCAGCAATCTGACTAGTTGATGTTATTATGAAGAGGCCATTTGGATAAATCATACATTCCTTTCCAATGTTTTTGAAAGTGAATTGCCAATTTACTTCTGACTGCTTATTAATTGTTGGAAGTCAATTAATGTTCTGTGGCTGAGCAACAGAAATGTTAGTAATAATAAATAACAATTAGAATGTCAAGTTCATGACACCATTCAATATGATAATATACTACAAATAATTCAATATTTATTATGACATGAATAATTGACTTTAATTTTTTCTGACAAAGGAATCATTTTATTTGTGATTTAGTATTGTAGCTGGCTTTTAACCTCTCATACATTAGGGTGCAACATATCTTATAGCAGAATGTACACCCAACTAATGATGTCATAAAATGTCCGTACCTCAAGAAGTGTATGCTTTATTTTGTCTGATTTTATTTTACATCCATTCTACCTTTCTGGCTCTGGGAGGTTGGATGGAATGTGTGTGAATCTGCACACTAGAGATGTGAAGGCTACTCGGAAAATTCCTCATTCTTGGGTGTTCTCCAGGCCTTGCTATCCCAAGATTCCTTCATGAGTCATCCATTTGCATTGATTACACTGCAGGGCTTCTCACAAAACTGAGATCCCCTCAGTCTTGTTTTCCCATGTTTTGTATTTTCCTCTGTACAACCCATTGCTCTTCCCAAGCGTGGGAAGGATACAATTTGTTCAGGAAATGAAATAAGTCTGCACATATTGGTATCCTTTCCAGGGTTGTTTGTTTGCTTGTTTCAGAAAATAGTGGCTATGAAACATATGAAAATTCCTACAAGGTGTCTTTTTGGGTGGGTGTGGGTATGTGGAAAAAAATCATAATATAAAAAATCTGCTGCATGGAGAAAAAGGATTTTCCTCCTTTGGCTTCCCTCAAGAAAAAAAAACCCTGTCCACACACAACAGCTCTTGGATATAGGGCCTGTCACTCTCGAATTGGCCTCCTCAGCCACACTAAACGCTGTTCCAAGTCCTCCATACAGAGCATGTTACCATAGTCTCTCGAGACTGAAGGACGCCTTTAAAAAAGGCCCATGTATATCCTGTAGTACAGTGGGGTCTCGACTTACGAACTTAATCCGTATTGGAAGGCAGTTCTCAGGTCGAAAAGTTCTTAAGTCGAATCTGCATTTCCCATAGGAATGCATTGAAAACCATTTAATCCGTATCTGCTCTTTTCGTCCATAGAAACTAATGGGAAGCTGCTATTCCGCCTTCTGCCACTAGAGGGGGATATTTTTTTTCTTTTTTCCTTTTAACCTAAGATGACTTAGCTTTAAAAAAAAGGAAAAAAGAGTTTGTAACTCGAATCTAAATTCGTAAGTCGAGTGCATATATGCCTATGAGAGCGGTTCGTAAGTCGAAGCGGTCGTATGTCGAGCCGTTCGTAAGTCGAGACCCCACTGTATACTGAAATTACCACTGGAAATCAGAACAATACTGTACAATCCACAAAATGGATTGTGGGTTGTTCTCTTTTTTTTATTTCAACACTAGTGCATAAGGGTTACAGTGTCTCCTTCTAAAATGTTTATTTGGAAATTTGGACTGCAGTCTATACCCACTACTTAGGAGTAAGCACTACTGAACCAGAAAGGATTCACTTATAATGGAACATGTGCAAGATTGCATTGTTAAGCTCCTCTCCTCCCAAACAAAGGGTAAACACTGCCGAAAATTATGTAAGTGAAAAACTGAGCTTCCAAGCTACA